CAGCCCCCTCCCCCATGCCCCCTACCACCCCCCCGCCCCGAGTTAGGGAGATGGTTTTCTGCCCCCCCCCTTTTTTTTTTTCCTCCCCCCTTTTTCCTACCCTCCGCGCTATTGTTTCTGCTCCGCGGATAAATGAGGAGGACAAAGGAGGCAGCTTTTCCTACCCAAATTATTAAGTTAGCCTTGCAGAGCGGGATGATTGGCAGAGCCCCGGCGGCTGCACATCGCGGGTGATGGGCGCTCGTTCTTTCTTTAAAAAGGGGGAGGGAAAATAAATAAATAAATACCCCCCCCAATCCCCCCCCCCGCATCCCCCCGTGGTGGCTTTTTAATCAATAAATTTAAAAGGTGGTCGCTTCCCGCTCGGTCATCCCTGGGAGTTGGAAAGGTGTTTTTTTTTTTGTTGTTTTTGGGGTTTTTTTTTTTTTTTTTTTTTTTTTTTGAGGGGGGTGTTGGGGAGAACTGGCATGATGGTGTTGGCGGAGGGGGGGGTGCTGGTGCTGGGAGCGCTCCTGTTGCCATCTTCTGCTGAGCCTTCTCGCTATTAAACCCGAGAAGTTGCAGCGGATTCTGTTTCGTGAAGGTGGACGGAAGAACAAAGCAGAAACTGGGGTTTTCCAACTTCTCCTGCGCTCTCTCTCCATCCCAGCGAAAGCATCAGAGATAAAATTTAATAACCCTTTTCCATGCTCTAATCGGGGTCTGGGGTTTCACATTCAAGAACACGGTTCCTATGTCGCTGCTGGTTCAGCCTGGATTATGAATTACTTTCTAGTAAGGATACATATAAAAGCTAAGTAACTGTTGATGAAGAAAATCAGACGTCTGTGTTACATGAGCAGTGCCTCTCTTGGGCAAAAAAAGGGTTATTTTACCCCCTTTCCCCCCTCCCCCAAAATGCGCTGTAAAAGTTGGAAAAGTTATATCTGTGTCTCAGCGTTTCAATGCGAAAAAGGGGGCAATAAGGGGGGGCGAAAAGCAAAGCAAAGCAAATATCAGCCGAGCTGACCCCGAAAGAGTGCAGGGGTCCTGTGTGATGCGTGGGATTAGGGATGTTGGTGAAATGGCAAGAAGGAAAAGTAAATATGCGGAGAGCAAAACAGAGCATATAGAGAGCAAAATCTGGTGAGGATGAGCGAGGGCTTTGCAGATACTTGTGTGTTGTGATACCTAAAATACCCCGAGCCCGGTGGGTGTCGGTCTTAGGGTGGAGAGGTGCAGGTTGGCGTGGAGAAAGAAAGTCTTAAACTCCGAATATTTGGACTTTTCTGGGTAAGCAAAATGGCAGGCTAGCAGGTTTTCCCGAGGCAGGTTCAGCTCTGGCGGGAATGGTGTATTTTGGGGCTTTTTTCCTTGCTGGTGGATGGTGATATTTCGGGGGTTTTCCCTGCTTTGACTTCTTACTTGTGAGCCTCAGGGCAAAGTTTCTGTACAAGGAGTGTATTTCGATTGCAAAACCAGCAAAAAGTCCCTGCTCCACAGGACGGGCGCTTGGTCTGAATGTTATAACCCAGATGAGAATAAAATCACGTGCGATGAATGAATGTGTATTTTAAAGCATCGGTTTGAAAACACCTCGCTTTGTTTTGTCTGCTGTGTTAAAGATGCTGTATTTGAAGTGTGGAAAAGACGAAATAGTTGTTGATTCGGCTCAAAGCAATGTTGCGTAGAGTACGGCTGTTTTCATCATCCTTTTAGGTTGATCACACCAGGCTGGAAAAAACATAATGTAATAAGCGAGTTTAAAAAAGGGTAAGGGAAGAAAGAAAAAAAAAAGAAGAAACTCATTCACGGTTCTGTAAATTAATATTTCAACAGGGACAAGGTTGATTACTGGTACATTTAACCATAATTATTTGATATTAGTGCTGTGATAATTGAATGATTTAAAGGATTCATTACATGTATGATGAGTTTGCCTTCTCTGTATTAACTATCTGCAGATTTCTTTCCCTTTCTTCTAACAGCATGTACAAGACAAAACAATATCTATTATGTGTATATTAAGATTGATTTTATTTCTGAGAGACCACCCCCCTGGAGAGAAAGAGAAGAATCTAAAGTTAATATATGTTTAGCAACCCAACTCCAGAAACGCAATAAAAGTTAAAATCTCCCCTACTGTTTTTTAATTATGATATTAGATCAGGAAGAAGGACGGTGGGAATTTATTGCTTCAACTATTTTGTATAGATGTGCCTGTTTTTTATGTAAAAACATGGGTAGTCAAAAGGACACCATGCTGTTCGCCTTCATCTTTCTTCGCGCAATATTGTTTGCTTTGTTGCTCCTGCTCATGCACTTTCTGATGCTGTTACCAGAGTAAAATATTAGCGATATTACGATACGCTGGATTGCATAATTTTTCTTGCGTCTGTTTGTATAATACTCCTCTCCCAGCAGGTGTAATTTTAAAACCTGGAGGCTTTTGCCTGTGTCTCTGTGTGTGTGTACTCGCGTTGCCTATGGATGAACTTTATCCTTTGCTTCTAAGGAATGA